GTGTTCCTAGCATCAGGGAATACTGTGGCAACAATGTCAAATGGCATCTTTGGCAGGAAAGGAGTTAAGATATCTTTCTTCGACCATTTTAAAGTGATGGTTACTATTTATTCCTGACAAGATGTACGTCTTACCATATTCACCTGCAGGTCATTGTTCCTTTTTTTTTAAATGTGTGGTTGAAGTTGTTCGAAATTGTAACATTGGAAGTCCAGAAGCAGAATAGTTGAAATAATAATGAATGTTTTAAAATAAGTCTTAAAAGGAACTATAGCATATCCTACTTATTTCAGTAGTAATTCATGAAACTCATAGAATCATCAATCATGTGGTTAAGACATAATTGATGGTAAACTATAAAAATTAGTTTTTGTTATATAAAAAGTATGCTTCTGGAGATATTATTGCTTTTTTTAGCTGAAATTTATTCAATTAATGTCTGGAAAATATGCTTTATAATATTAGATATATCAAATTCTGTAAAGAAGTATGTTTTGGTTAGGGATCAGATTCTACCTTGTCTTTCCCAAGATTCTTTTTAAATGATCTTCAGGGACACACTCTACAAACAGGGCTTCATCTCATAGTATTCCCAGGCCAGACTCAATGAACAGAGAGCAGTGTAGCTGTTAATAAGGGTATTCATCATGAGACTGACTATTTTTGGCGTTGTCTATGACAGTCTCAGTAACTTACCATTGTCCCATGAATATGAACTTATCATTTAATTACGCACTGAGAGACTGTCTTCCATTTCAACCTGCAAGTTAGTTAAGCTCACAGCAATTCTCCAGCCAATCAAAATGTGATTGGATCAGTCGCAGACAACCGTAGCTTTGCTACTTCTGAAAAATCTTTTTAGCTAGTCCATTTTAATCTGCTTATTGTAACATAACAATTTAAATAGAGGTAAAACTGTATATCTGCCAAACACAAAGCAATATGATATATGCTGTTAAGCTATAAAGTACCAAGGGTCTTTAAGTGTTGTCAACAAAGCAAGTTTCCAATTTACACAAGAATGTACTTCACCGAAACAAATGCTTTTTAATACAATAAATTGCAAAGAAGTTTATCTGCCAAATTTGACATGTCTTGTCTTCCATTTGACACAGTTAAAATCAGAAAATGAAAGCTTCTAAGTTTGGAAGTGAGTGACAATCAAGTCATCACGATACAAATAATTAACCTTAGCATCATTGTAACATTAAAACAAATTTGATCTTTGCCTAACCATTCACCTGGTTTTTGAAGTATCTTTAAAAAAAAAATTTGGAAGTCTGTAGAACACGAACTGTACTTAGGAACAGAAATTAAAAGCCAAGGCCAGAATGTGCATTTATTTTATTTTGAAAGCTAAATACTGTAAAGACATTGGTTCTTGCTTATGGCAGCACAGTATCTTCCAAGTGCTAGAAATGACTCCTGCAAAAAAAGAAACAAAATTCAGTTCAATGCTTTTTGTTTTGGATTTCTGGATTGAGAGTTCCTTTCAATTTCTGATCATTAAAAAACAAGTTTTTATTCTTTCTTCAACTTTTAATTTCAGCAATTCATATCGAGATAGCACAAAATATGAGCTAATCACCCTTACACTTCAAATGTTCCCATTCTATCATCTCATGTCCAATTAACACTATGCAGCTTTCTGTCATGATGCACTGCGAGCTATCTATAATGACTTTCAGGAAGACATCACACTGAAGACAGATTTTAAAACAAACAGAGAGCGTAACTATGTTCTTACATATAAGCCAACTTACAATATTTTTGTGTTTAAAAATGTAAAAGTACACATGCACAAATGAAAAAGGTTTGTGAATAAGAGAATGACACTGCAGCTGTGGTATGCATTTTGAATTGTTTTTATATCTACATGAGTTTGCCTGTGTACATCTATTCAATACCAATATACAATTAATGAATCATTTTTTAAACAATTCTGCTGCAAACTTAACTAGCAAAGGACCATATTAGCACAAAACATTTCTGATAACATTAAAATCAAAGAATTCAAACTATGTGTTGCTGTGAGTGGAGAATTTAGAAAACAGATATCGTTAGTTTCAGAAACAATGTTTGATTTTAGTACCCTAAAATAATTCTCACAGTCATAAAATTAGGTTGATGTTGTGAAAACTTGAAAATTATGAAAAATAAAACAGGCTTCACTTCCACAGGCAAGGGAATAATAATTAACAGACAAAAAAATGGGCAAAACACAAGAAATCGATGCATTCTGTTTTAAATCCACTTTCTTGACTCCTATACTCTGTCAAAATAACCCTTCAAACAAGTCTGATTGGGATCTAGCTCATCACACTGTCACCAACTCACTTTTCATTAGACTGTTACTCTCTGTTAGCCTAGCCAAGCAGAAGAACTCAAACACATGCGCAAATTAAATCGACATCCAAACTCCTCCAATATACAAAGCAATTTAAATGATATTCATTAGAGCGATGACAAGTCCTGATGAGGCTTTCAGGAGCTGAGTTCTTCAGCTTTTGCAGACTCGGTTTCATGGCCACTGAGGCGTAACCAAGGCGACTGTACCTTCAGAAAAGCTGACAATTTTGCTGTGCTTCCTGATACACCTTCCGTTTCTGCATTCAGTACTTACCCACAGATTTAAAGTGTGTACTCTACACACTGTATGCTTCTGTCAAAATCTTCAGGCTCTAACATTAAGGCCACTTAATTGCAACAATACTGTGTAATCTTAAAATAGCAAAGGACTAGCTGGAGATCTCTGCCTTCGAGTACAATGTTATAGATGACATATAGTTTAATGTGACTTAACATGGCTGTGCTATGAACTATTGAAAAGCGTTTATCCTGTTTGCTGTAAAATTTGAGCCAACAGCAACTAGCTATTGGGGGAAAAAAAATCTTAAAATTCTGAGATGAACATGGTTTCAAATTTAAGATTTAACTTAAAGCTGGAATATAATTTAGAAAAATGAATGGCTAATATGTAACTACGACAGACAAAAATATTCTACTGAATTGTTAGATTTGCAAATACTAAAAATGTTTCCCTCTGGTAGAATGTTCAAAATATAACCCAAGAAGACAACCATTCTGACCTGCACTGCCGCAGCCAGGCAGAATACTAGACATTTAAAGATTGTGTACAATAAATCAGTGCCTGTTCTAACTCCACATATACCCTATAAAGTGTACAAGAAAAAGGACACAACATTGTATATGCTGAGTACACAACTGACAAGCTACTAATCACTCAGTGCTTACCCACCTCTCCTCCCTGCCCCATTAATTGTAATTCAGGGCAGTGAAGTATCACTTTCTTCAAGTGATATTGCTTCTGTACAATGACCCCGTCTGCAAATGTATTGAGCTTCTAGCTTGTGACAATGAGAGGGTAATCACACTTAATAGTTTAAATGTCATTTTAGCCGCAAATGCCCCTTTCTTCAGGGTCAAGCAAATGGCTGGGGACATAACCTGAATCAAAGTCCCAGGAGAGAGAACATTACCGACATTTTTAGTTAAACAAAATTATCCATACCTCCATATCTCCCCAAGGACACAAAAGTCAGCATTCATATTGACTAATGCATAAGTGTTCAGCAAAGTATAGTGTAATCAGAATGAGCATTCCTCTGTAACCAATTCTTCTTGTTCTTTGGAACCTCTGGATTTTATGAACCTCACTGATGTTGCTAGCATTATTTAACTCTTTGATAACCGATTTATAGTTCTCTGAACTCTTAATTTATCCAAGCAGAGTGAGAGGCTGCTTCTGAACACTTTGGATAATTAGATGTGTATTGTATTCTCAATCTGTGGTTACATTTGGTATTGCAATATATCCTATATTAAGCTCTGCTGTCCAACAGAATGCTTAATTATTACTCACTGAACACTTCAGATTGTGCAAATGTAATCTGAGACTGTGCAACAGTAAAAATGAGAACTGACAATTAAATATGTATTTAAACAAGGCCCAGGAAAATTCTTGGAGCTGCTTCTGCTCAACCACCATGAATTTTTTTGGAAGTTTAATGGCAATCCCATCATTTATTTCTTCTGATATTCAATTGAAGTGTTTGGAGTCTGCACTAATTAACACAAGATTTGGAATATCTATATTCCCGACCTCACAGAATGTTGATGCCATTGGCGCTAGCTCACTTAATGCTACTGCAAGATCCCTTGAGCTATAAAAGGTATCATTGTGTATCCAGTCCCCTGTTGTTTATTCAGAATAGATATCCTCCAACATTGTGGAATAACCTGATAATAACAGATTATCAGTATTGTTAAATGGGGCTTCTTCATACGTGAAAATGACTGGCATTCTGCTAATTGCAACTGCATTTTGTTTAGAATTGAAATGTGCGACTTTTAGACCTCTGAATATTCCATTCTTCTCTGTATATTTAGCTATTTTTATGTCTATCAGTGTTTGTGATATTCATACTTACATCTCTACAGAAAAATAAAAACATGCATCAGGAGGTGTTGCTTTCATTGGAAAGCGTGTGTGGATATATGCGCGCGCACACACACACACACACAAAATGAATGGCATGACCCAATAATCACCACTCAAACTGGCTGAATTGTTTACTTAAACCGAGGGTCTGGAATTCCTACACTGGTTTTGTAACATGTATATTTCTTTTTATTGTATCCTGTTACATTCATACACTGTTTTTGTTGCAGTGGTCCAGAGTGCTTTCATACAATAATCGATTATGTTAACATATAAAATATTTTTCAGTAGAAAAGATGTTGACATTGTAACAAAATTTAAATAAACAATTTTAAGGAAATTAAAAAGACAATGTTGACTTCACGTGGAATTTGAATTGCAACTACTTTCTGAATTTAATACTCAGGCTAATTGCAGATACCGCGCCTGTTTTACATGTTTGAGAACATGGCTCAGCAGAATCCTAGAAATTGTGTAATTAAATTCTCATATATATAAAATAACCAATATTCGCCTTCCAACATGTAGAGCAGGTATGCACAGTACATATATCCATTGTATTCAAACATGGAAAGCAGATGACAATTAGAAATCCATTTAAAGTCCATCAAATACAAAATGGGATTGAATGTTTAATTCTTGCCCCTGCTGTATAGGCAGGAGTTCCATATCGCTGTCCCAACGAATGCTGTGAATAGCACTGTAAGGGTTAAGCTGATTGTGAAAGCTGCCCAGTATGTACAGTGTTTCTGTTAAAGGGGAAAAGGGGAAAAAATCTCAGACACATTGATGCTTCTTGAGCAAAACATATCACATACAAAAAAAGGGGGAATATTGATAAAAGTGAGCCCGATGTTTTAGTCTCCTTCGTGGTTTCTCAATGAGGAACCATTCATTAAATGTTTTGTTTATATCACAGTCAAGCTTGCTGGGTAATGTGGACTTTTTTTTTATATAATGCCCAATTTTCTAACATAATTCATGGCCCCCTTCCCTGTCATCTACAGCTTGTGTGGTGCCTGCAAGAGAGATAGCTGGCTGGGACCGCAGTCAAAAGCTTTGAGATCAATATGTACAGGACATAATATTACAAAAATTGAGATTTCATGCACAAATGTTGGTAGTCTTGTTTGTTAGATACCAATCCTTTATTAAGTTATACTTTGGTTTACTATAACCACTCTGTGGTCACAGATTTGGGGCTATGCTCCTTAGTAGTTGGCTTCTGCTAATTTCACTTTAGCAGATAGCTCTCTAAAGCCATGGCATATTGATTTCTTGTTGTGAAGTGCACTGTTCAAGCTCCATTTAAGATTTTCATCTTCAACGTAGCCCTGAGCACATCATAGTGCCATAAATTAGGTAAATTGCACACTTATCACAAATGTTATTTTAAGATACTGTGTAAATGTGGCGGCTGGAAGATATACAATGTGTCGGAACAAGCCAGTGCTTGGGTGGGGTTACAGCTAGGTCTCAATGCGCACCTGTGAATTAAGGCCTTGTGAAAGGTGCTAACCCCTAAAGTATCTCTCTGTAAGTGCTGCAGTTATCTGACTTATAATACTTTAACCAAAACCCTTGCCTGACAGGACCATAAACCCACTCAAGCTCCAGCCAGGAACATGTAACCTTCAGTGTAAATGGGTTCATTACCTGTTGCACCTCATATGTAGACAATTGTGTGGAAGCAACACAAAATCATTGTAAAATGTTTTAATGTTGCAGAAGGGAAAAAAAAAGTTATATGAACAGCCATAATGGTGTTCTATTTCCAGCAACAAGACAGGGCACAGAGTGCAGTACAGTATCGATGCTGTTTACATGTCTATTTTATACATATATTCTCGTATGGTGTCAGCTGTCAGTTATTTGTGCAAATTAACTGAAAAATGGAGATGAACAGACTCACTCAGTGTGCTGGTAACCATGGGTTACCTTTTATATGCCAAAAAATAAAGGTGCAGTGGGGAATCATGGGAGAATAATTAGGCAGAACAAAACTTACCAATCAAAGGCATTCTACACATGATGATCATTAAAATAACAAGTGAGAGTGCTCATAAATAAGTAAAGGAGGTTACATCATGGAATGCCTTTTTACATTTGTAGCAGGATCTCATAGCATAAACCCTTTGAAAGAATTTTGTATATTATTGTTGAAGAAATACAGTACAAGTGTTTTTCTTTCTAATTTTATTAACCCTTTGAGCATTGACTATTCATTTTAGCTCTGTAAATAGTAGTTAATTCCATTAAATAATACATCTGAAAATTATATTGTGCAAAATCATCTGCACAAATATCATGACAATGGAATTGAATAAAGACAGCTGCAGATCATTATTTTAATAATGGCTTTCAGTCAGTGATCTGAAAAATAAGAATGCTGCCAATTTGTTTTTGCAACTTAATGCAGAAGTGCTTCAGCAGTGCTCAGAGGGTTAAAGGTTAAAGGCTGAGAAATGCCAGCACACTTAATTCACATGAGAAAGTGCACCAGGTTCAGTATTAAATGCTTAACTAAATTGTCCATTACGCATGCAGTTTAATGCATCTGAGCGATACACAGCAACTAAATCCAATTTACACAAAATTCCAAACACTTACCATTTTTACCCTTGTAATCAGCCAGTAACAACAGCTGATTACGTGCTTCCATTAAAACACTGTACAGTTATATAAAAGAGTTCAGATCAGAGTGCTACTCTGCAGTAAATGAAGAACATGTGCCAAGAGTTGTTACAGTAGCTTTAAGGCTTCTTTCAGATTTGTCCTCAAAGCAATAGTCAAGCTACTAAAGTAAATGCTACTGTTTCTCTAGCTCTATAACATACAGAAGGTGGTCCTCTGGTGATTTGCCGTGAGTTTTACTGAGATGCAGTTTAACTGCATGTTTACTGGCAAAAGTCCGATTACAAAGTTTGCACTGGAACGTTGTCCCAGCCTCATCGTCTTGAGATGGCAACACCGATTTTTCGGAGGGCAGTTTTGCGTGTGTTATCTGGTTGCTTATTTGTTCACTAGAAAGTTTTGATAAGTCTCGTAACCTGAAGCCTAAATGTGATTCTAAGTGACTAATGTAGGTTGAAGGAGTTCTGATCTGTGATGCACAATCATTACAAAAAAACACTGGATGACCAGAGTCCAAGTTTTTAAGAAATTTTGTTCCACCTGTCCTTCGAAGCTGGTACTTGACATTGGCTAACCAGTGGCTGATTGTTGTCATGGAGAGCCCTGTAAACCTTGAGATGTGCATTCTCTCCTGTGGGCTGAGGTCCGACATAATGAATTTCCCATCAGTGGTTTGTCTCAGGCTGGCTGCAAACTGCGCCTGCAGTATGAGCAAATGCTGTGGGTTCCAGTTTGACTGCCGGCCTTTACGTTTCTGAGCTGGAGAAATCTCCTCTGGCTCCTCCATAGTGCTACCGTCCACCTCGGATTTGTCTGAAATGCTTGTAGGTGTAGAAGATTTTGATGTGTGACTTCCTGTCAGGTTTTTCAGCATATCGGATATATCTGACAAGGCATTCTCGCGTAGCGGCGAGTTTGACATGAATGACACGACTGCAGATGTCTTTGCTGTTGTCACAGTGGATGAAGAAGATGTTGACGACGGGGATATGGATGACAAAAGCACTGAACCCAAAGAACCACTTTTGTCACTCTTGGCTTTCGTCAAATCAATGGGCTGGTCACTGCTGACATGATAGTAATAACGATCTATGGATTCTGGTTTTTTGGCTGGCAAAATTGGTGTGGCCACAGCAGCCTTTTCTGCCAAGCTGTTACTCATTTTGTAAAGCATGCTCATGGGGTCCAGGGTAGGCAGTGCAGGTTTAGCCGCTTTCCCTAGGTGAACATTCATAACGGATTGCAATGCACTTAATGGATTTACAAAAGGTTGTTCAGGAGGGTGGTCTGTAATAATAGCTGTGCTAGTGCACAGACTATTTGTAGTGAGTTTTAAGGCCTCTGTGCCATTCTCTAAATGATCCTTGGCTGTGTTCTCTTTCAACGGGTCTTTCTGGTGGTTGGAAATATTGTCGTGGCTTTTAGGACTGGGGTCTTTTGAAACTTCGCTTTTTTGTTCCTCTCCTGCTTCACTATCACATGGAGAAGGTGTTTCATGCTTCAGTCGAGATAACTTGTTTTCTGAATCTTTAGTTTTTTCTTCACTTTTGGTTACCTTCTCTGTGACTTTCTTCACTAGCTCTTCCATAGCGTGGAAATTGTTCTTGGGTACAGGGGAACTCTGGCTACTAGGTGGTGAAACTAGTGGTTGGCTCTTTGGAGATGCCATACTATCAATGTTGCTATGTGCAGACTTCAATTGTGTATTCTTCCCTGATGAACCAAATGGTAACTTCATTATGCTAGGAAGCTGATATGCTGCATGAATGCTAGGATAGCCACTCCAACTTGGAGTCCCATTCTGAGCTTTATTAATAGCAGAGGTCACTGTGTTTTCTAGAGATTTTAGGATGTCTAGGCCTCCTTTAGGATTTTCTTCCAGATCTTCTTCAGTCAGATACTGATACTTTGAGGATATGTCATACTTTTCATCATCATCACAGCTTTTATCTTTTTCTTTCACTTTGTCCTCATCACTTTCAATTTGTTTTTCTACTTCCCTTTTCACTTCAATATTTAATTTTGGTGAAACGCTGGCCGGGGTACTTAATGATGACGTGAAAGCGCTTGCAGCTAGGGGAACAGATTGTACTTTATCTTCTAAGATGGCTGACACGGGTGTTGGTGTTGGAGTCTGGGGTGCCTCAACAATCTGCTTCCCCTTCTTGATTGCAGAATTGGTCACTTTTACAAAATGTCCAGTGACCATCATATGTGTAGTCAGTTCCTGCAACGTGTCGTGTGAACTCCCACACTCCATACACTTGAGGATTTGAGACTTTCTCGCCTCAAACTGCCAGGCATAGCTGGCGCCGTTCTGGTGTCCATAGCGATTATTTGGTGTGACATAAGGGTTTGAGGACTTCTGTACTGCATCACTTGTGTCAGAGAGAGAAGTTTTTGGCGTACCGCCTGGGGAATCTGGAGAACTTGGCAGCTCAAGCTCAAGCATCGCCCTTTTTCTGGTGGAGGGGAGGACCTTTGTGGAGATTGGTGCTACAGGTTCCTTCAGAGGCACTTTCTGATAGTGTTTTGTTTTGATCATGTGGACACTTAAGTCTTGAAGGGACTCAAATGAATGGCCACAGTACATACACTTTAGCACCTTTTGAGCATCCTCCTTTCCCTCCATCTCCAGTAAAGAACGTTTGCGAGGCTTGGACCATTTTTTAGGATTGTTATTGTCAGTTTCATTATTTTCATCTCGATAGTGTCCAGTTTCATTCATGTGCACAGTCAACTCCACCAAGGAGTCATAAGCAGCACTGCAGTCTTTACAGCGGAATTTGCTTGCCCCTGTAAATATGGACCCATAGAGCTTACTGCTTTGCCTGTACAATTGTACTGTGCTGAAGAGGCTTGGCTCCTGAATCATCTTGGTCTGAGAGACTTGCTGCAATGTCTTTGACATGGCAGACTGATGCCAGTCAAAGCTCCCACTTCCACAACTGCTGCTGCTACTACTACTGCTACTACTACTACTGCTGCCGCCATTTGTTGCTGGCTCACTTGGCTGGTTCAAGCCCAAACTCAGAGATGACCAGTAGGAATTTGATAGTATGTTGTTGTATATTGCTTTCATTTGTTCTAAACTGTCCTGTACTCCTTCCTCGGGAAGGCCACCAACCTCCTTGCCTTCATCTTCATTCTTTATAGAGTTGTTCTCAAAGTCAGCCAATCGATCACTGGTTTCACTGACATGAGAGGTGCTGTCCATCTCCTGGCCAGAAAATTCAGCAGCTGGAGAGTCCTGGTAGCTAGGCGATTCCTTGTTAAATTCCTGTTCGTTGCATGTGTACTTTGAAGATGATTCTCCATCAGCTCCAGACTCATTGGCTTCAGTTTCTTCGTCCCCTAATACTGCTGCCTTCAATTCGTCTGAAATGTAGGCTGTGTTTAAAAAGAGGAGAGAACAGTTTTAAGGTAATTGCTACTAGTACGGAGTGAAATTAAATATGGCAAAACATCATAACTGGCAACATCTGCTGCAAAGTTAGATAGTTAAAATGTAGTGTTTCTTGGGTGCATAAAATCGTCTCTTCAAACGTAATTTGCCACCTTATTCTTCTCAAGGGGCAACAGCTTGAAATTAAAACTAAATTTGAAATTAATGAAGCAAATTCTGGAGGTGGCATTCATTTCTAAAGTAATAAATTACATGTATCAACCTCAGAGACAGCAGTTCCTGTCTGTCAATTAATATGTCTTATGCTTCTTCTACCTCTAATGCATTTCCAGGCAAAGACAGTCACAATTTAAATTATGCAACCATTAAAAATTTCTGTGTTTCAGTATTTAGTAAATTGAATATTTAAAAAAAAAAAGCAGCTTGAACTATACAGGTTGATTATTTATATTTGGGCTCCCAATTTCAAAAAAAAAACCTCATGATGATTTAAAGGGCTACATCCAGATTTGCCCTTCTATACTTCAAAAATTCTGCTATGGAAGAACAGATGGTTGAAAAATTCTGTACAGACTAATCACAGCTACATACAGGTTTGTGGAAGAATGTTACTTTCGACCCACTGACATTTAAGTGTGCATCATTTTAATCAGACTTTCACTCTGTCAAAACAGTGAAATGCATGCATGCCTGCAGATGTCAGAAATGGGTTTAGAAAAAAAGCTTTTGGAAAATATGACAATAACAAGATTGCCAAGTTTTGGAATAAGATTTGATGTTTTCATGCTGCAGTAATTTTCTTTGAATAAATTTATAAAATGCTACTGAAAACCCATGAGAGAACTGAGATATATGAAAATGTATGTTGTTTATATTGCATAGTTTTCACACTCCTGTTTAGATTTTTCACCATTAGTGGTGTTAAAAAAATGTATCAGCACTGAATGTAAAATCAGTTACAGTAAAAGATCATTCCCATTGCGTAATCAGTTCAATAAAGCTGGACTCCACTCACTGGAATTAAACAAATCCCTATGTTTTATAGGCAAATTTGGGAAGTTGGGGGGTGCGTTCTGATTTGAACAGTTGTTTGGAATCCGTATATGCCAACAAAATGATGTCATAATCCAATTTAGCAGAAACAGCATGTGAGAAAACAGCGATTAATCATTGCAAATACCAGCATCATGTGTGAGGCAAGCAGAGAATCAGACATATCCCCCAGAAATTTGAGGGGAAAACTCTTTGTATGCTGTTTTTCAATTTTTTTTCCATCATGTTCCAACAGGTCAGACATACAGTAATCATTTAAGGCATTGAGGAAAGAATTGTTTTCATGCATCAGCAATGGACAAGCTGTACTGTACAAAGAATCAGGATATCGTAAAGATTCAAATGCTAAAGACCAGTTTCCACACGAGTATTGTTTACAACTAGGAGAAGAAATGATCATGAAAAAGTAGATGCAGATGTCTTTCATACTCTGATCTGACCCAGAACAGGAACTACAATGTGCAAAATTCATCAACGAGACAGTACAGTGGAAGAGAAAACTCAGAAGACGCCAAGATCAGAAAACATATTTGGGAAGGTAGCTGAGTCAAGCAGAAATAAAAGAGTTAATTTAATATTAAGAATAAATAAACTATTTAAAATCAGCAGTGAATCATGTATTCTGTGTAGATACCACTGCTGTCTAGACCATTGAGATATCATCTGTGAAATGCAACTACCTAGGACAATAGCATCTTAACTTTCCCAGTGGGAGACTTCTTGTAAATATTGGCACACCCCTGGGACCTACGGCAAATATTGACACACTTCTAGAACCCTATGCAAATAGTCATACACTTCAGAAAGCCCCTGAATAAGTTAACACCTCCAAAAATATTGCCACATATTGTGACCACTTTCAGGTATTAGTACACTCCTGGGGAATCCCCGCATTCACTGGCAATCTCTCTGTAATACTCTTACAAATCATAATATGCACAAGAACCTCTGCAAATACTGACACACTTCTTTGACCTGCTGAAAATATTCACGCACTTTGTGAAAATAATGTCATATTCACAGAGGCCTTATGGAAATATTATTAATGAAACTTTCCCACCCTCATTTCGAACAAGCAGTACTAGCCAAAAGGAGAGCACTGCAAGTGAAGCAGAAAATATTTATTAGCATTTGCAGTAGACAGTACAATGGAAGCAACTAACAAAAATATATAGCATGCAGAATTCCTGACACACTGTACTCGAGTTATGTACTGTGTCGCATACTCGAGTTCCGTACTTTGTCTCAGGCAAACAAAAATCTGATAACCTTTTGAATCTTCTGGAGTCTGCAGAGCCTAGTCTGAAAACAGATTGGGTGCTGAATGATGCGTATTGAGAGCTATATTGATATCCAAGATTTTGCCGGATTATATTGGGGATCAGAAGGCAATGATAGAGCTCACCCATCTGTTGTGATATGCTCTATGCCAAGCCCTTACTCAACCCTCCCATTACATTTTCAAGATACTTAAGAGGAATAAGTATCTGAGGTAGGCCTAGTTACCTCTCAGAGTTCTAATATAGGAGCTTCTCCTTGGCAGGCAACAATTAAAGCTGAGAAACTCCATCTGATCCTTATGATGAGAAATCAGAAGGGGGTCAGGTGGATTTATTAGATCTTCAATCCAGCACTCAGGTCCCTGTTTTGGTCCCCACTAACCTGGACAATTTAGATTAGAACTGAATTCTTCTGACACAAAGCTAATGATCCAGATACAAGTATCCTACGGTTTAGCGATTATATTCCACTCTTCAATCTCTGTGTAGTACAGAGGGGTCCTCAAACTCTTCACTTGCTGACTCAGAAGAGGCAGACATGCTAGCTCTAAACCAAACGCTCACACTGGGATTAAGTCTATGGTGATTAAAGTTGGACACTGATATATCAAATGTCCTTACTATTCTCATGTACTTGATGACTATACTATACTTTCATGTACAAAGAAATATGGCTTGAGAAATAGCTTAATATCAGAACTTGTAGACAGACAAGTTTCATTTGCTGTTTTTCCTTTTGGTTGATATTTTCTTCTTCACTTACTCATCCTCACCCCAAAGAAGTTCGAGACTGCGGACTTACTGGTCATCCATGTTTATCTCTTTAGTGGAGGGTGAACTGTTTCCTGCCAGGTTTACTCATCATCATATCACCTCACTGCCACCAACACCAGAAAAGTGAAACATATTGACTCTGCATCACATTCCATCTGGTGAGAAGCACAGAGAATGGCAAAAAGACACAATCAAGAGCAACAAATTCAAAAACCTGGGAACTCAGGAGTTCAACTTTCCATTCATGAGGTTGGGGTCAAAGTCCTCTTATAGTTGAAACACCTGCTCCCCTTGCTTAGGTCACAGTTTATTTTACTTTTTTTTGGCATGCGGGAGCATATCTATTTGCTAAGGAAGAGAGGTGAAGGTTTCTGCACCCTGACAGTTATAAAGGGTTCTGGTATCCATCCACATCAAAGCGAATAAACTTCCAAATAATTAGTTACCTTCAGAGGCCATAAAACAGTCTGCGTGGGACTAGGAAATGGAGATGCTTTACTCACATGTTGGAGGAGGGGTTCGATACTAAAGTCAGCATTACCTTTGGTTTAATGAATATTTTAAAAATGTTGACACTAATTATTCAGGGTAACTTAAAGAATCTGTACATTATACATCTGGAGGCAAGCCATGCCCACTTACATGGAATGTGATCTTACTTCCAAGTGTGAATTATTTATTTTGTTGTAATAGGAATTATTAATATGGCGTCCATTTGCCTATCCTCAGTTTAAAACAAAAAGGCACTGTATGATCACAAAAATCAAATTCTATTTTCGTTTATTCAAATTATACAGTACTCAAGGGGAGGATGTCCCATAACCCATTGCTGGGCTTTGGCCCTAAACTTTTCATAACAGATGAATTTTGAAGGCTGGGTGAATACATCAATTTTATTGCCTAATAAATTAGTGCACACTTCAAATTTTTTCTGCCATTTCTCTTCTTCTTTAGAATTATGAATGAAACATATGTAATTAATAATTACACCATCACCGGAGGTTTGTAAAAGCTTTATGAATTCTGATTTAGCAAAAGATAAACAGTGACATATTACTTTGTGCTACAAATGTTATAATGCCAAGCGTTCACTATTTGAGGCCAAAGTAGTCAAGTGGTTCTGAGCAGGCGCTACTGTAAAACCTCTCAAAATTTTCAGGAAAAATATCTGAAAGTAAACAGCCTGGAAACCGACTGGAAATCTACATGTAAAAGCTTTATAACGGCGGGACGTGTGGCCAATAAGACAATAAAACAACACTGAGACAGAAATGTATTGCAGGCTTTGGCAAATGCTTTAGTTGTGGTGAAGGCCTTTTAATGCAGAGCAATCTGGTGAACACTAAAGACATGACTGTGGCCTTGTAATGGATTTCACTGGAGCCCAGATATGGTGTCACTTATACTCAAAAATGTAACCCTTTGATCACTGAGTGACCACTTCCTGGTTCAAGTAATTACACATTTATTTTCCTCATTATGTAAAACCTGCAAGAAATAATTACATATTTTTAATTTACAAATCAAAGCAAAATGTAAGGAATAAAGTGATTTTTCACAAATTCTGATGTCATCACAAAAGAAAATTCACCTTTATGTTTCATAAATTGAACAAAAGCTGTTATACTCTTCAATATGGTAAACACATCTTTAGAAATATTCACAACCCGTACGATAAACAAATCTCCTTTATACTCAGAATGCTCCTTTCCCATTGTGTCAGTAAGTAGTTCCTTTTCTGAAAAATCATTTGTTAATCTCTGTCAAATATTATTCACACAGTCCTTCCCTTGCAGAGTGTACTGAATACCCCGACTTGGTATGAGCAGGGTTTAGTTGATTGCCGTATATCAGCACAAAGTAATTCACTGATTTCG